TGCCGGGGATGTAGGCAGAAACAGGTGGATTACTGAGTCCCACAGACTGGGCAGCCTAGCCTTGTAAATGGGCTTCAGGCCAATGAGACACCCTGATTCCAAACAGGAAGAGGACAGATGCTGAGGAACAATAACAGAACGTTGGCTTCTAGCCTCATAAGCATATGTTCACAGGTACATCTGCACACAGGTCGGCCCCCACACATTCATACATGCATATATATATATATATATATAATGAAATGCCCAAATACCTACTAAATGCTAATTCTTACTAATTTATACATATATGTTTGGATAATAAGTAAAACAAATATCTGATTTAGTACCCATTTAGCTTGTTGTTATTCAAAGAGACTTGTTCATTTTTCTCAGAGTTATGAAAAATACCAAAAAGGTTCAGCATCAAAATAATCCATTAAAAAGAACCTTAAATACCCTCTTTCCTCTAATTTTAAGTCCAGAGTGTTGCTGAGGCTGATTTCCTGTTCTGTGAGGGAGTGACCTTGTACTTTGACATGGACACATCCATGTTACAGATTTGGAGAGAAATTGACTCGGGAAATTGGCTAAGCTGTTACCCATATGGGCTGAGCTCAAGATGAACGGCCAAGCTTTCCTCAGGGAGTTTGAGTAGGAGTGTTTATGAAAAATTGATCAGTGTGCATGGATTAACAACTGTAGCTTCCTTCTCCCAGATGTCTACAGACTAAGCCTGCCCATTTACGGAGACTACTGAGTCTAACTAGCCCCTGGATTGTACATAATAAACATGTTGAGGCCAGGTTGGTAGTGGTAGGAAAACCCAATCAAATCCCAGCTTCGCTGTGTCTGTGTGTTTGCCTTTTCTTCATTCCCTCCACACCCTAGGCAGGGTGCTAGAATCCAAGCCACGAGGGCCTTGGCAACAAACATTGTTAGATAAAGCAGGGAATGTCTACTTCTCAAACATGCAAACTGAAATTCCTGAATCAGGAGATTTTTAACTTTGTTAAAAGAGGGAAGGTGAAACTTATTTGAGTGCTACGAAGAAATTTAATATTGATAAAATAATAACTTCTAGTGGTGAATACACAGCTCTATATAGATGTTTATAAACATTCTGCCAAGTTTTCAGTCATATATCATTTCTCAGTATTGAGTCCTACCTTTTACCAGAAGCAAAACAACTATGTTTCCTAGCATTTTATGAGAAGACAGTGGTTTATGCATTCATCGATCATGTTTTAATCATGGGCCTCAGTACATGGTGTCAAAGCAAAAAACAATATTGGGAAAGTCTAATCCTAGCATTGTGTTTGGCTACTGAATACACAAGTATGCACTCAGTTTCATAGGAAATAAGTCAACAATATAGGATTTTACATTTGCAGGGAGGGGTGGCTTAGTGCTTAGATTTGTATGTAGGAGAGAATAAAGATACAGGATTTATAATTTTTTCTATTAAAACTCTGCATAAAGCAATAACTTATAAGTAGAAGATAACTCCATATACAGTTGTTTAACTGCCACAATTAATGAAATAACTAAATATTATCACATGAGAATGTGTCTCCTATAACTTAGACACCCTTAATAATATATTTTGAAATATTTTCATTATAACTCAATCTGCTACTTAAACACCATAGTAATTGAATTTGAAGATGTCTAAAAACCGAATATTTATGGTGTTCTAAAGGATAATGGCCTCCAAAGTTTCATATAGGTGAATGTTTAGCCATCACGGAATGGAACTGTTTGAGCAAGGCTAGTGGGATTAGGAGGTGTGGCCTTGTTGCATTAGGTGTGGTCTTGGTGGAATGGGTGTGTTGCTGGGAATGGGCTTAGATGCTAATGCTCGTTTGTGTGTCTCTCTCTCTGCTGCCTGTAGATTAGGATATAAAATGCTGTGATTAAATGGATATTCCACAATGCCTGGTTTAATCATTTTAATATCAACCTAATTTAAAAGACACTTAGAAATAAGTGTCTAGATCTTAGGCAATCCATATACATAACATTTTATATGAGCCATCTACAAAGTTCAAGTTTGATCAACCACAAGAAAGTGTTTACCTCAAAACACTCACAATGACCAATGTCCATAAGGGACTCATGAACTTTCATTTCACATGTAATTCTACCGTTCTCAGCCTGCCCCTCCCATTTTACCATTTAAGGGAAGCATTATTTTCTAAGTTAAGATATCAAAACTCGGAGCTGAAATGACTCAATAAATAGGTATATGGCCTGAGTTCTGCAAAGGGAACTGTCCATAAGATGTGACTGTTCCCAAGCAGGGTTCTACTCAGAGAGGCCTATCAGATGGTGTGCATGGCTCTACACAGATTCTTTGAACACAGTGTCTCCACACTATCTAGATCTCAGTCAATGAAGAAAAAAAAATGCATAGCTTTCTCTGGTGCTGAAACACAGTGAGACTTTGTGTCTCTTACCTTTGCCATGGCTTCTCCCATCCTCCAGGAGTGGCACAACAATAGTGTTGTTCACATTTCCAGGTGACCGTACAGCTGTGTAGACAACTGGAACTGACTGTACCACCACAGGGATTCGATGAACATGACTGAGTTTGTTAGACTGTAAGTTCATGGGACTGGAAGGTGGGACAGGATGGATGATGTGCAAAAACTGCTGGCCGCCCACACCAGATGCAGAGGCAACAAGAGGTCCTGGAGATAACACTGTTGACGAAGACGATGCTGAAGATACTGATGTTATAACAGTGGGGGATGAGGCTGGACGACTAGAAGATGATGAAGAGGTTGAAGTTGAAGAAGGTGAGGAGGCAGACGCTGTCATGGAGACTGGGGAGGATGCAACTGTGGTAGGGGAGGTCCTGGCTTTGTTGATTGACAAGTCCACTGGCTCAGTTTGTGTCTGGAAGTGATCTACAGGCAATGAGTCCTCTGGGGGCTCCCCTTTCACATTATTTAGCAACAGGGGAACAGCTTCCATATCGGGGTAGTTGTGGACGTTTGGAGACTGCAAGGAGAAAATGGAACAGATTTATCATTATTAATGATATATTCCAATAGATGCATGATTTCCTATTTTTCCTCATTGCAGTGGGGAAATAGTTTATTCACTCAAATATTCAGTTTTTTTCTTTAAGTCACAATGATGAGAACTGAATGTGAAGTGTACAACAGAGAGTAAGAAAGCCATTTAGCATAAGGACATTTCTATTCCATTGGAGGGCAAATACACAACTTAAGCTAAATTCCCTATTTATATAATAGGTCACAGGAACTTAAAAATGATCAGTAGATCTATGTTGAATTCTCAAAATCCAAGCTCAGAGTGTAGAGCTTCATCTTATAATTGTGTAAATAAGACTGATTTAATTAAAACATCCCTTTCCTTCTTCTGGGTCCATCCTGCACTGGGAGTCTGCCTCAGTTTCTTCTTAGGAAGGAACGGGAGTTTTCATTAGATGAACTGAAACATCCTCTCAGGCTCTGGAGTTGTGCAATGTAATGAATGATTTTACCCTTGTGCAACATGATCCTGATCTAGAGACAAAATACCATCCAGCAGCAATCTTGGGAATCTTGCTATGACCTTTCTACATTTGTGGTTGGCACAGGAACTACTAGGACATGCTCATGTAGTGAAGGCACAAAAAGTTCTCTAGTCTCTCAGGACTGGTTATCAAGTTACCAAAGTTTAATCATTTGAAATGGTTGAATTGTAACCCCCCAGTGCACACAACTATGACACTAAACTTGAGAAAAGTTTTCAGAAAATCCTATATAAGAAATTTTAAATTGTCTACTGACTTTTTGTTTGATATAAAATGATAATTTTGTTTAAGTTCATTTGTATTCTTATATGTTTTAATGAGAAAAAATAAATAACAAATACTCCAAGGTTTAACACACATTAACATTCTCAGCATAGTATTAATGAGAATGAATACACATCTATTAATTCCCAAGTTGAACAAGTACTTATGAAATGCACACTTCTGGGACCAATGTGTCCATGTTCTATTGGAGTGTGTCAGTAGAGCCTTGACAGAGACAACCAGACAACAGCATGCGATTTTGCTGTCTAATTTAACCAAGTCAACACTCACATTGGTATTATGTTATTAGATGGAAACTCCAAATCATTATTTGCAGCTATTTTATGGTATCAGAACAACAGTTATGTTAAGTTGGCCATTTAATTCTTCATTTCATGAAAGATTTTCATTTGCTATTCTTCCTGAAAGCATGAAAAATGCATTTAAAGTTTTTTAAAAAACATTGTTCTTAAAAACTTTCATTATAGAATATAAATTATAGTTCTATTCAAAGCATACAATAGGCAGTAGTGCGAGGGTGTTTCATTCAGCCACAATGAAAACAGAAAGAAAACAAACCAACAGTGGTACCAGATCAAATAAAAGGGAAACAGGTTGATGTTTTAATGCCTTTTCCCTCTTCTTGGCTGAAGTGGTTGCCTGCAAAAACATTTGAATTAGAAATATAATAGCTGAGTGATCTATAATGCTTTCTGTATGGAATTCTAACTAGGACTTGCACTTTAGGTATTAAAGCTGAGAAACACTTTTATAAACCATTCCAAATACATTAAGAATCAACCAAACATGCAAGCACTATAAATTGCACTATTTTGTGCAAATTTGTAGACATTATTGCTCTTCCTATTAGAATAGTATGTTACTTTATTCTTAGCATCATCATTAAGGCTTTGTTTTTATAGAATAATGTGACTTGTATCTTATCAGTATTTTGTATGTACATTGAAAGTCCTTGATATTACTTTCCTAACAGATAGTAACAAGTTCATAATCCAAAATTTGAGTCATTAAACATTATTTACCAGCAACAATCTCTTTGAGTACATACACCTTGATCGGTTACATATTAGACAAACTAGGGAGTCTTAATTTGAAAACAATGTTTATTTCTGCCTTATGTGGGAACCAACCTCTACAAGTGGAGGGTTGAACAGTATTTCATCCTTGTAGAAGCAATACCTCTTGGAAATGAAATAGTGCATTGGCAGGTGACGACAAGGGAATTGGGGCATGTGGAGCTTATGTGAAGAGGTGGCTTTCAAGGCATCACGCATCACTGAACTTTATGAGGTACCCTGAAACCTCTGTATTGTGAATGAGAACCCACCATTTTTATGGCACTACCTAATCACCAACTGAGGAAAATACGTCTTCCATAATCATGGTATAGAATCAGATAATGACTCCTTCTCAGTCTCATTGATTAGACTAGAAAGTTATGAAGACAAAGCATAGAGAACTCCCAACTCCTCTCAGGTTCCTGACAATCACACAGCTTTCACTTGTGCTCTAAATCTTTGGATCAAATACAAGGGCCTTGGAAAATTATTCATGAATTTATAAACACAAATATCAGAGACCCATGGTGGATCCTCTGCAATATACAGCAGTTAAAATGAAGCCAGTATATTAAATAATTATGCTCTATCAATATCAAGACAATAAAATCATCATTGCCCCCTTCATTTGCTTTCAGTGTCTGTTGACAGGGCATCTTATCCCAAAAGATGTTACTAATCTCTTGAGACACAAAATGTGGCATGTGAAGCTGGTCATACTTCCAGCTTTGGGCAACACAGACCTATTGCAAACATCGATAAGGCCTTTAAATAGCCATGTCTCCTCTCATTCCTCATTTTAAGAACTGGACAAGACCTTCAAGGCTCAACCCTGGACATATCATTAGGAATTCATATCTTGTTTCCAATTTTAGAGGAACTTGCATTGAGTTTCTCTCCATTTAGTTTGATTTGTTTGCTTTCCCACACTGGAAAATTGAAATGCAGTCATTCTGAGGTTGGGATCCCTAAGTGGGAAGCTAGACTGAGGTGCTGGGAACCCAGTTGGCTGCAGGACTGAAACAAGGCGAGGGAAGCAGAAAAGATGGGGAGAGTGTTGAAGCTGGGGCCCATAGGAAGAATGGCAGAGGGGCAGGCCTGGAAGCGCAGGGCACACCAAGGAGGCAATAGAAATGAACAAAGGCTGGAAGCTACAGGGGACACTGTCCAAAGAACAAAGGAAGATTGCATGGGGAACTTTCACCCTCTTTCAACTGCTCAGTCTTTGACACATGGCCATCTATGGCAGTACTGAATAAATGGGTTTTGTGGTTTTTCAATACACAAAGATTTTGGCTTGGGAAGTTGTCATATAAGGTGGATTTCACTGTTGATTCCCTTGATATGGGAGACAGAACTCTTACTACATTCTCACTGGCAAACAAAAACTACAAACTCCCTAATGTCACCGGGAATACATGGGAGTACTGGATTTTGTCAAAGAGGAATGTAATTTCATTTTCCAGAAAGTTATATAGTGCCCCATGGAAGGGTCCACCATAAAATTTCATCTTTTAAATACTGTTTTAGGAAATAATAACGTAAATACATACAGAAGTCCAGCAAGATAAAACTAACAATATACTTGACACATGCCAGAAAATTTTCAAGCAAGCCAAAATCCAAGAAAGATTGCCTACTATACTATTACTTTCTTCTCATGTCAGAAAATTGGTTTTACACACAAGAATCCACATAAAAAATGCTAAACGGCATCATAGTGACATGTTGTCTTAACTGTCTTGACTTGAGTGTTGCTAATCAATAAGCTTTTTCCTGAATAAACAGTTTAAAATGAAACTTCTTCAGCTTTAGGCCTTTTTTTCAAGGTGTGTACAGAAGAGCCCCAAGTCCCCCATATGTTATTTCCTGGAAAGTTGTAGAGAAGTCAGTCTCCCATAGCCAGACATTACTGACAGTAGAGCTTTATTCTGGTCTGTCAAGGGACAAATGGGATATTTAATTGAGGTTATGAATTTTAATCATCTGCAAATTTTAAAAGAAACAACTATATGTGGACCCCTCTGGAAACCCCTAAGGTACTTGGGGGGGTCTTCTGGCTGGAGAGGATTTGAATAAAAGGCTATGAAATGCTATCCAAGACGTATATTGTGCCTATTATATCTTTAATGGGACCAGGAAGTTTTAGGGGTGGATAACACACACATAGTATAGTGACAGCTATCTGTCAATCACTTAAATAAGTTATATCTTATGTCACATTTACAAAAGTTTGAGAAATAATTTCAAGTGAACTTTTAGGACATGTTACAAAAACATTCGCCTAATATGTCTCTTACCTAGGAAATCAATCTTTTGTAGGCTGTTCTGAAATATTATAAAAAGAAAACAAACATGGAAAAGAATTCCAAAGATTTGAATTCATGACCTAACCTAGTTTACTTTTTATTAACAGCGTCAATTTAATTCTCTAAAGTTTTAGGCTTTCAGAATAGAAAAGAGAAACATTAGTTTCAAATTTGTAAAATTTCTGTGAAGATTGAACTGATGGCATCCAGTTCTTACAGCAGTAAAAAGAAAATCAAATGATCAGAATATTTTCTTCTCGGAAGTGAAAACACCAAACGAAGCCAACGTATTGCCATGAGTATCTCACAGCTAAGTGATTCAATGTATTCCAGTTCAAGATTTCAAACAATCTCTGAATAGGTACAGGTCTTGCAAAACAAGCAGACACATATTAGAAAATAGAAGAAGTTGTCCTGGGGACATCATATGGTTAAGAATATCCTCAATATTTAACCTTTGTTTTTCATTAGTCAGACTGATTCACAAGAGAACCATATCATAGCTGCTGGAACACATTTTGTCTAATTGATTAGATTTCTTGATGCTACAATATGAACCACTCTAAAGAGGATAGTTGCTTCTTCTATCACAACAGTAATTTAGTTTCTCTGAAGTTTAGAGTGTGGCTTAACCCTTAGACATGCAGCTAGAGGAATGGTGCATCAGCTAAGCCTGTGTGCTGCTCTGTAGTTGGTTTCCTAACATTCACATCTGGTGGTCCAGGCCACCTAGGACATCAGAGCCCCTGAAGCTCTCTGTGGTCTCCACGTGCAAAGGTACCTTTCCTCATGTGTATATGTGCATTTCCAATTTTTAAGCCTTTTTTCAAGTCTTTAAAATAGATCCTATTCTTGCTGCCAAAAGTAACTACACTGAACACATACCTGTGCTATTTGATGTTTTATACCACATTATTTTAAATAAAACTCTATTTTAATTAGAGGGCTATTTTTAAAATATGACATCCATAGAAGCTCCATACCTCAAGTTTTCCCGCTTTACCATGCTTGATATGAGCACCCTGCAACTCTGGCTATTTTGCCTCCAATGTAAAGGTCATTGTTCTCTATCTGTGGTTATATCACACATTTCAATTTTCTCTGTGTTCTTTTATTTTACTGAAAATGGAGCCCATTTGTTATACTTTTTATTGCATATGTCCTGATGCTCACTAATTTGTTTTCAGAGATTTATTTTCTTCCCATGTTCAAGGGTAGAAAATGTTAAGTTTATAAAACAGGAAGAAATAAAGTATACTAAAGAAAGATCAGCTGTCACTTCTCTAATGTCACCCATGAGCGTAAGAGGAAGTGACTCACACTGTCGTGCTCTTATCACTGATACTCAAATTGTTGACAAAGTTAACTACTTTGTGGAAGGATGACACACTTGAATGAATATTTAAGTACACAGCTTCATAAGAGCATGTTGGCTGACAATGCAGGAAGTGATTCTTCAAAAAGTACAGGGCAGGGTTGACAAGATGGCTCAGCAGGTAAGGGCATTTTTAGTCCCTGGGATCCACATAGTGGAAAAAGAGAATCCATTTGTTCAATTTGTCCTCTGATTTGTATATCTATGCAGAGTCTCTCTCTCTCTCTCTCTCTCTCTCTCTCTCTCTCTCTCTCTCTCTCTCTCTCTTTTGTGTGTGTGTGTGTGTGTGAGTGTGTGTGTGTGTGTGTAAATCCATAATGTAAGTATAATATGCTTGTGGCTTTCTTTATGTTTAGCTCTTTTACTCTTGAATGATAATATGAGCCTTCGAAAAGCTTTCAGTACAAACATTCCAACTGTTCCCAACTGTTTCCTTATTTTCTGGTTGTTATATTTCCCATGACTTTTATCTTGGGGCTTTCAAAAGTTGCATCATTTATCCAAATCAATCAGAATCAACATTCACAGTTGACTGCACTCTGAAAATCTGATGTGGCCATGCTCGATGTGAGGCTTGCTGAATGGAGGGAAAGAGAGGAGATATTGTTTATGCAATTTTCAAATTAACAGCAGACATCTCTGAGTACCAGAAAGACAGACAAACATGTTTTGACATGAAAGTCAATATTGTATGTAAATACATATAGCAAAGAAAAGAGAGTGGTAGCATAACTTAATTGATGAATATACATTATGCTTGTTCCAAAACAATATGGCTTTTAAGATATTCTGTATCTTAAACCACTTAAATTCTTTCCATCTCACCAAGTTAGAAGAAGTAGATGTCTACAGTCAGCCAAGGATCAGCTTGACATACCTGTGAGGAAGGACCTTCACTAAGGAATTGCCTGCAACTGACTGGCCTTCGAGCATGGCTGTGGGGCATCTCCTTGACTGCTAATTGATGTAGAAGGATCCAGCCTACTGAGCACAGTGCCCTTCCCAGGCAATGAAGCCTGGACCATATAAGAAAGGTAGCTTGGTAAGCCAAAAACAACCCAGGAAACCTCATTTCTCTGGTCTCTGCTTCAGTTCCTTCTTTGAGTTCTTGCTTTGGTTCCCTTCCATGAAGGACTGTAAATTGTTAGCCAAATAAGTGTTTTCCTCTCCAAGTTGTTTTGTTTAGTACTTTATCACAGCAACAAAAAGCAAGATAGGAGAGTATATCAAAAAATGAAGTACAAAAACAGAAAACTAGAAAGTTAATTGTCTACTGCCTAATAATTGTTTTTCAACTTAAGTCTCACAAAGAGCATCAAGAAAATGTTTTCCTGTCTTATCTAGTGAAACTTTAATATCTTAGATCCCCTGATGAAAAGTAACATCTATTTAATAAGAACAAAAGAATTTCTAATTATTAGTGTAAAAGATAAAGCTTCCTCCTTTTAAATCTATAAATATTATGGTAGTGGATTTTGACAAAATAACACATTAATTTCTTATCAGAAGCATGAATAATTGAATTAACTTTA